ATTCAAAAATAAATTACATTTATCAGTAAAATGCTAAACATCAAAATACTGTAGAAAAAAATGCACATACTGAATCAATTTTGTAGTCTAACAGCACTGGTATTTTAAAGCTGAACCAGGGAATAGAGTGTGCCCTTCAGAATGTAACTAATAAGCTGCCAATCAATGCCACAAATCAAAGCAAAAATTCCAAGCTTAAAGTATAAATCAGCACAAGCACCATTCACTTGGTTTTCAACTTTTCCATCTATGTAATCAAAAAAAAAAAAAAAAGGAAAAAAATCATCAAAGTATTGCAAATACCTATAAGCACATGTTAATCCATCTCATATTTAACCTTAAGCCGGGGATTTACTTCTCACCCTGAAGTAGAAGTATATGGAATACTTATGAGCAATCAGTATCTTACCTGCAGTGGACAGAAAATAAATTGCTCCCAGTTGGGAAAATCAGGGAATCAGAGTGGAGATAACTTCTCCTGAGAGCATGTGGTCCGCCAATGAGCCCTTCCACAAAAAACTGTTTGTTTTTCAAAACCTTTTTTAATTCAAAATAGAAATTTAAATCAATTTTATATCAGTTGTAAACTTTAAAATGATGATTCAATGCAACAAGATAAACAAATTTAAAATGCAATAGTTTAATAGTGTTTTTGTATTATTTATTTCACATCCAATCAGTTGTACACGTACTACTTTTCAGTGTTTATAAGAGGATGTGTTTAAACTGTTTCTATGCAAGAAATACCACATAGAGCTCAGTATTGTTTGTTAGCAGTGCCCAGTCGTAGCAAAGAGACGAGGAATGTGATGTTTCATGTTTAGTCGAAGTTAAACACGAAACATCAAAGTTAATTACAACTGGCCCTTTGAGGGCCACCATAAAGCTCATGWGGCCCTCCCCTTGCTTTAGATTGTTACAGACAACCCAGATGTGGTAAATCACTTCCAAATATTAAATTCCACAATACTTTGTATTTTACAGTAGTTTGTTTTATTTATCTAATTGTGGTATTTTGTTTTTGCACATTAAAAGGGTTTTACTGTATGTCAGCTTGTCACGAGAGAAAAAAAAATACAGTAAAACCCTTTTATTTTTAGTTTATCCTCCCTACAAATCTCAAGACACAACTACCTAAAACCAGAATTGTCTGAGTACATGTTTGARGAATAGGCTCAGTTAATAAAGAGAAGCCGTAGCAGTGATGAGACTGAGGATTTACAGGTCACAATCTTCTATAGCCGAGCTTCACAACATGGTGTGGAAGTGATTATGGCCTTTAAGCTCCCATGACATGGATATCTCCTGGCTCTGCAGCAGTCTGTCAGGGGATCATACTTTAATCTGATTGTAAAGACACTAGGTATGACACAGGCGCCTCAGGAATGTAACCTGTCATTAATATCAATTACAGATGGATTCAATTGCCAATAATCAGGARGGTTCAGAAATTCCTGACTGTTTGTTTTCCATAGGTAGGTGGCTGTGMTTAAAGCCACAACAGCCTTCAAAATGTGAAATTTGTTTCAATACATTTTATTTGAATTGTTAGTATGTGTAAAAGATAAAAGCAAGCACTAAAGAAGCATCATTCACCAAACGTCTACTGCATAATTTGTAATAAATGAGCAAAATCAGCAGAATCCTGTTTTGTTGCCAACAATTTCAAGTCGTTTGTTTACACTCGAACGTTAACTTGAACACTTAGTCTTGGCGCGTGACAGATTATAAGTCAGTAAAATAATCCCTGGATGTAGATGCTAGATCCAGAGCAGAAAAGGTGAAGTTCTCTCTGAAAAGAAAACAGCAAATAAAAGCTCAGAGCGAGAGTTGACAGAAGTAGAGTCATTTTGGAGGAGGAAAACAAACAGAGAAAGGTAAAGTAAATGTTGGCACTGAGATCATTTGCAAAGAAACTGTGCTGAAATATTCTAAACTTTAACAGGAGAATTTCCAYAACTTAAAGTAAATTATGGTAACCAATTGCTAAATTTAGTTTTAAAGAAAGGTGAGGATTAACCCTGATGAGTGCGAGTTACTTTAACCCCCAAACAATCATTTTTTTTACATGATAGAAGCACAAAAATTCTAATTAAAATCAAAAAAATTGAAAGATTGTGTATTTTGACAGCTTTTATGGCTTTRTGTTAGTGTAGGAGGGTAACACAAATTAATAGTTTTCCTATGGTTAAATAACTTTGTTTTGTTGTTTACAGGTAATGAAAAAAAGTGAATACAAAGAATGGAGTAAATAAATAAAACTTTTTACTTTCTCAAATCAGCAGTGTTCAACAGCAGGGATCCTCTCCTGTGCACATTAGCACCATAAAAAGCCAGTGAGTATAATCGCCCTGTTTTTTTACTAAATAATTGGTTAACCACTTTCACCCCCAGCCTTCTTAGACAACAATGTGTGTTTTTAACGATACACATCCAAACCAGCCTGTGCCAGCTGGCACRGCACAGTCGCTGGCGGACTTGGCCTTTGACAAAACACTGGGTGGACCACTTTACCCTCACAGCTCTCGGGAACCTTCCACGAGCTCCGAACCCTTGTTGGGAAAGGACGACTCTCGGTGTCCAATAGAAACATCAGGCCGTCGAGCAGCTCATGAATTCCAAGTTAGACAAATAAATCCATACATGTTTGTGGTCCAGTTAACCAGGGATTCTCATGCCAACCTTCAGTTTGTGATCATCTAACGTAGGCAGCATTTCAACACACTTCAGTGTTCATGAAAAACACATGGAGTCAATAAAGCACAAGGCCAAGCAAAGTGCACAAAGCAGAAATTAAACTAACATATTTAAATCCTAATTTCTTCATCTTGTCCAGGAGTAATGTCAGTATAAAGCTTTTTTTAGCCACATTTTAGCCAAGTATAACGTTATCAGTTCGCTATGAGAGCGGTGTACAACTGTACCTTCGAGGTCTAATGAGAACCCCGCAGAGCCTTTTAGTGGAGATCAGAGTGATTACTCATGAGGCCTGCCTACACAAGCAGTTTAAATTACATTTTTGCTGCTACTCAACCAGGGAGGCCAGGTATTTTAAGTGACATGGAAACAGTTAGACGTGTCCTTTCTTACAAAAAGGGAGCTAATATTACAGAGTAATTGATGTAAAAACATAAAACAATGTCTTAAGCTAAAATGTAAACACAACACAGAGTAAGACATGTCTCAATTAAACAAAATGTAGTAGAGATCTATGTTAAATTGATTAATGTTCCTGCTGCAATCGTTGTGACGTTAAAAGGACAAATTCTGAATATAAATATCCTTTTTGTATTAACTCAAAAAGGTGAAAGACCTCCGTAGCTCACTTTTTGGGGTTAATAAAGCCTGTTCTGTCTTTAAGGGATCCACGATTAGTTGTRACATTAGGCTTTGTTTGATAAACATATATTTCAACTGTAAAATAAAGACTGTAAAAATACTGTAGGCTGTTTAGTTTTGTAAATTTTTTTAAATATATTTTAACATGGCCAGAGCCATTTTATTTACACAAAAAGCATTCTGGGTAAATGATGACATTGATAGGTCCTCGGTGCGAGGCTGCTARCGAGCTATATCCACCCTGAAGGTTAATCTTGGACAATATCTGATGATCGACTCTTTTAAATGAAACCAGAGAGCGTTGACAGAGAGGAGAAGGTAGAAATGACTCAGCCTGTAACTGAAAATATGGATGGAGGACAACAGAGCTGCTTCATGGAAGAAGAACCTCAGCTTAGCCTGTTAGCCTTTGCGCTAGCGCCGATGCTATATTGCCTTATATGTATTAGCTCGGTGCTAGCGCGACAAACAAGTTAAACTGAGGTCCTCCATCCATATTTTCAGCAGGATGAGTCATTTTTTCATTCCTCACTGTCATGTGGATGGAGGACCTCAGTGACAAGAGGAGAAGGTGTAGCGCTGAGCTAACACATACATATGGTGATAGCATCGGGGCTAATGCTAAAGCTAACAGGCTAAACTGAGGTTCTTCTTCCATGAAGCAGCTCTGTTGTCCTCCATCTTTATTTTCAGTTACAGGCTGAGTCATTTCTACCTTCTCCTCTCTGTCAACGCTCTCTGGTTTCATTTAAAAGAGTCGATCATCAGATATTATCCAAGATTAACCTTCAGGGTGGATATAGCTCGTTAGCAGCCTCGCACCGAGGACCTATCCACGCCATCATTTACCCAGAATGCTTTGCGTGTAAATAAAATGTCCCTGTCCGTGTAATATATTTTTAAACTTTTGGTTTAAAAATGATAAAAAATGAACATCCTACAGTATTTTTCCAGTTTTTTTACAGTTAAATAAACATTTATCAAATAAAGTCTAATGTTACAACTAATCGTGGATCCCTTTAAGCAGAGTCAATGCTTTACGCAAAAAAAGGGAAGCAAAGCTCATTCAGTTAAGTCCCGAAAAGGAGATTCGTCCAGAATCCTAATAAGCCTCATTATGATTCCAATCAGATTAGAAAAAACATATAGAAAGGATATTAATGTGTGCCCACATTAGTAACTATATCTGCTTTTTCTTATCTCAGCTAAACTTTCATGTCTCTCTCAACAAGCAGCGGTCATATTGTAATGATTATGTCTGACTGTAAAAGAGGATTTTTTTTTAAATCCCAGATTGTTATAATCATATATTTTAAGTGGTACATTCTTGAATTTTTCTTTTTTACATATATTTCCCAGGGCTGAAAGTTAATTTGACTGCAAAAGCAGGAATAGTTTATTAAAGGAAAATAAGGGTTTGGAAAGTAAAGTAACATTACTGTAACCACCTGCTAGGCACCGGTCCGAGCTGCATCTTTTGAAGTGAGAAAAATATACGACCAGCTTTTTATAGCCGTATTTGATTTTATTTTGGATTTTACGTCGAGGGCAGCAATGACCAATTTTCCTTTAATTGTAGCCTGCTGTTATAGGACATAGTTAGTTTTCAAAAATGTGTTAAAAGGAAAAGTTATACATAAAGATGATTTTTTTTATCTTACCCTCCATCCTCCTGGAATCCCTCCAGTTCATCTTTTTGCTCTGCCAAGGTGGACTCCAAATCCAAATAGCTTCCATTGTGGGACAACTGGAGGGCGCAGTCATCAGGCTAAACACGAAGACAGAAAGTAGACGTTTGAATTTCATTCTGATTAGATCAGAAAACTAACTTTGGGTGAATAATAGTCACTGACACACTGACGGACTGGACTGAACAAGTACAACGGTACTAAAATATTTTATTGTCCAATAATTAACAGAACAYAGATGCTCGTTTTGTTTAACCGTTCTATGTACTTGTTGAAACTAACCTTTTATACCTTTGAGCTTTAGATCAAATGTTAAGTCTAGACTGTGGAAAGTTTTGCTCTCCGCCCTCGTCAGTGCTCTGCAATGACAAGCTGAACATAACTGGGGAAAAGTCATAGAGATTTGGAGCTGCTTGGCGTCTGGTGCCTCTTATCTCTTCTGCTCTCCCTGTCTGATAAACTATCATCGCACACAGTGATTTTTTTTTTTTTTTTTTTTTTTTGCAGCGGAGGTATGATTTGTCTGGTCTTGAATGTCTGTCATCACCTGACTCCGGTCAAGGAGATGAAGAAAGAGAGTGTCTGTTCACTTGTCTGGTTGACCTCCAAATTGGAGATATTAACCTATTTATAGTCAGGGTCTGCCAGCTCCACAGGGCGCCGGCTCCAACGGTGAAGCAGAAGACAGAAAAACAAATCCCAATAAAGGAGGCCAAATGCATGACTTCAGGGTGGAGACTGGCACTGCTGTCCTCCAGCAATCAGGGTGTCTTAAACATACTGTACACTCATAGATCCTTTATTTCATCAGTCCTCAGCTAACCTTGCAACAATGCAAAGATTTGGATTCATTAGATCAGAGGTTCTCAAACGGGGGTCCCCAAGCTATATCTTGGGGGTCCTTGAAAAAATTTAATTGTTAATTTTTTTAATTAAAAAATGCATATGGGGAACAATACAGTATTAAAACAAACATACTAAACCAAACAAAACATAATATTCCCATGGCATGTAGAGATTAAAGGGGCAATATCATGCAAAATCAACTTTTTTGAGTTTTATATCATGTTATAATGTTATACTCTCATAAAAAAAAACATGCCCAAAGCCTTGCTTTGACTCATTCATGCATGTTTGAGTAATCCTTCAGTTTTTTTTTTTTTTTTTGGAAGACACG